CTTAAAACTATTCTGTGAGGTAGGGATTCATACACTCATCTGACAAACGGGAAAACAGAGACAAGGCTAGCCTTGGGGCTCACAGTGAGTAAAAGGAGGAACCAAGATAGATGCTCAGAGGTATCTGAGCACAAAACCCATATTTGTGTCACTTTACGTGGTCCTCACAGCTCTTAGAAAACAGGGTCTATGCTGGTGTCTGCAACTGGGCTGCGAAGGAACTCAAAAGACAAAGACCCCATATTCCTCCCAATGGAGCTTGACAGAGGGCTGGACACCCAGGACAAACTCAAAAGAAGTCTTGCTGTCCAGGCTTACAGTACCTGCCAGCTGCCAGGAGGGCTTCTGCTCGGGTCTGCAGCAAGCGATAGAAGCGCATCTTAAAGGCCAGCCGCTCAGGCTTCCCAGGGTCCGCGTGAGGGCAGTACACGTTGATTAGGGTCAAGGTCTTCTCCTTCCCTTCACTTGTGCTGGGGAGAAAAGAACTCCCTCAACAAACGGGGGTCATTTTCAATCCTCCCCTCCCCTCCCCACACCATGTGGCTTCCACTAATGGTTATCTGTGGAATGGATGTGAAGGAAGGGGATAAAGAGACAATAAGCTGGCATACACAGGACCTAGGGACTGACTACAGGTGAGGCAGAACGAGGGGCATCTAACGACACTCAGGTACCAGGTGATGGTGCTGCCATTTGCAAAGATAGGACACCCAGAAAGAGAGCAACTTGGGGCAATCAGTTCAGCATTGGCTAAGTTGCTTTTGAGTTACCTGTGGTAATAAGAGAGCCGGACCTCCCAGGCACCTCCCCCCCCACCCCCCCCGTAGAGACGGGGAACTCAAGACTCAGAGGGGAACAGGATTTGCCCAGGGTCCATAGTGAGTAGCCCAGACAGGACGAGAGTCCAGGAAAGACAAGTTTGGGAAGTTTCCCATGGTGAATGCATGTTCATAAGGGGAGCCTCAGAATCACCACACTCACAGAGTAGAACCAGCAGTGCTCAGTGACAGGGGGATGTGGGCTATTACCGGATCTTGTGCTGTGTGAGGAGGGCCCGGCCCTCACTATCCAGAGCCCGAAGCTCTTCTTGGGTGAACTCATCCATGTTTCCATAGCAACCCACGTCCCCATTGTGAGTGGCAAGTAGGCCACTCAGGCCTTCTTCGGCAGCCACTGGAGTAGCACTGTCCTTACAGAAGGTGGCTACACCTGGAGACAGACAGGGTACTCTAAGCAGGCCTGGCAGCCAACAACCTGTTGCACAGCCTGTTGCCCCCACGGTCACCTGAGTCATCTTCATCAAGTGTGGCTCTACTGAGGGCTCTCCCAACTCAAGGGCCATGAATGGCTCCCTAGAGCCTGGGCCAACTCTACTCAAACCCTGGAGTCTCAGTTCTTTCATCTAAAAAAGCCACAGAAGTTATAAACCAATGTGACCTCAAAAAAATATATATGTATAATAATAAAAATTAAAAAGCCACAGAATAAAACAGCTAATATTCTAAGTGTTTTACATGGATACATGGTAAGTACTCAAAAAGTGTTAGCTATTATTATTATCACATGGACTAATTCACTTAATCCTTATAATAGCCCTTGGAGGTGGGCATTATTCCCATTTTCCAGCTGAGGAACCTGAGGCATAAAGAGGTTAAGTAACTTGCCGGAGGGTACACAGCTAGGAAGTAAGCTAGGATTCAAACCCAGGCAGTCTGGCTCCACACTTCATACAATTAACCACCATACGATTGTGCTTCTGAGTTCCCAAAGGATAATTCTAAACATAAAAATTATCCTTCGCGTAGTATGTGGCTTTAGCTCCATGGACTAAAAGCCTAAGTTTCATATTACCTTCTCATCAAATATTGGAAACCCTTTGCCATTCCTGCTTCCATCACTAATTTAAAGTCCCCAGAAAGCCCCAGTTACCAGAATAGCCACTACGGTTGCGGCTGAAGCTGAAATAGGAGTTATAGCCCTCAATGATAGCCAGGGGCTCCGTCAGCACATCCCCTGGAAAAGAGATGTAAGATTATGTCAGATATAAAAGTAGGACCCAGGACACACAAAGGCCTGGAATTACAGTTGTAGGCTAATAATTCCTTGCACACATCAGAGCCAAAGTTGGGAGGAAAAAGGAAGTATCTACGAGTAGAGGAGGAGCTAGAAAGGCGGGGACTAGAAAGCGAATTGATATCAGAATTAGAAGGAGGGGGGAGACTATGTAATGAGAGGTGAAGAATAAGGAGGGAGGAGGCTGGGTGACTAGGTGACTGCAGGGTGCTGTGGGTGGGAAAACGGGAATATGGGAGAGAGAACTGGGAATCTGAGCTGGGGGTAGGAGGTAGGAGAGGGAATTAGAGGATCTGAACTGAGGATCGAGGGAAAAGTTGTTAAGGGGTCTAAGAGGGGGGTGACCGGGACAGGGAAGAAGGAATCGGGATTGAGCTGGGGGTAGGAGAGGGGTGGGAGAGGGAATCAGTGGGTCTAAGCTTGGGGTGGGACATGAGGTATGCAAGATGAGAGGCTCTGAGCAAGGGAGGAAAGATGGGGGCAGAGATAGGGGAACTGAGGATCTCAGATGGAGGTGTAAAAGGAGGAAATTAGGAAGTCTGAGCTGAGGGCAAAGATGGGGTTGGTATTAAAGGATCCGAGCTGGGGGCAGGAAGGGGGAATTAGGAGGTCTGGCTTGGGAGTGGGAGATTAGTACCATGCAGTGGTGGTGGTGGTGGGGGGGGGGGGGGAATGGGAGGATTGAGCCGGGGCGGGATAAGAAGAGAGAATTACAGGATCTGAACGAAGATGGAGGTTGCAAGGGGAAGGGGATTTAGGCTCTGCTGAGGACAGGAGGTGAAGTGGGAATTAGCAGACCTAGCTGGAGTGAGAAATCGGAATTTAAGGGGGAGGGGGATCAGGATACTGAACTGGGTCTAAGGGGAGGTCTCTAAGGATAGAGAAATGGGAAAGTGAAATGAGATGCAGCAAGGTGGAAAAGTCAGTGGAAAAGGGAGAGTATGGTAGGGGTCCTGGATTCTTGAGCCCTCACTGGTCACTTTGGTCTCCTGAAGACAGACGATGTCGGCATCCAGCTTGTCCAAAACGCGCCCCATGGCCATGGCGGTACAGTTGCTGGGCTCCTCGCATACCCCTTGTAGGGGTCTCCGGATCCCATTGATGTTCCAGCTTACTACGCGCAACATCTCGACACTGAATCGCAACGCCTTCCAGCTGGCGCCAAACCTAGGCGCAGGCGAACTCCCAGAGGCCCCCACGCCGGCCAGGCCCAGCCTTCCGCGCGCATTTGCGCAGGCGTTCTCCTGCGTGCTACGAAAGGGTCGGACGCACATGGGGCGGGGCTTCGAGCCCGTTAGTTTTCATTGGCGGGAGGGGCGGATGCTAAACAGGTTGGTGCGGCTGCCAAGGCGGAAGGAATAGCGAGACAAAGGCCTCCAGTTGCAGTCTTGCTGCTCTCACTGCACACTGGCCCAAAAACCTTAGTCTGACTGCGTTTCTGCTCTGCTCAAAAGTCATCTTGGTGCTTCCGATTACTTACAAATCGGATTTCACCACTTTTTAAGCAGTGGAACCGCCGCGCGGCCGAAGCCCCGCCCCCAGTGCGCCAGACCACCTCCCCAGTGCGCCGATGCCGCGAGCGCCGTGAGAGTAGCTCCCGTAACTGTTTGCGTGGGAGTGAGGGGCTCAAAGGGACCTTTGCAGCTGCAGGAGAGAGCAGTAAGAAGCGCTGTGATGGAATAAGACTTAGGGAGAGGGCCTCCAGCTTTCGAGGGAGAGGGAGAGAGGAGGCTGTCTTAGGCCCACTCTGTAGCCATTGTTTGTCTTGGGCTTTATAATATCCCTAAGGACGTGGCCCGACACATGCTTTTTCTTAGCTCTATTTCTGGGATAAGTAAAATCGAGGCCCAGAAAATTTAAGTGGGCTACCCAAGCTCCAGAGCAGCACTATCTCCCAGTGTAGCGCATGGCTTTTCCATATGCATTATCTGATGTCATTCTGAGAACAAGCCTGTAAAGGGCGTTAAGGTTAACTAAGAGAGGTTGAATGGATTCACCCTAGTCTCACAGAAGTGGTAGAGCCAGGATTCAAACCCTGTCTTAAACAGCTCAAGGAATACTTTCCTAAGAGTTTTTCCTAACCACGCACCTCCCCAGTTAGATCTTTTCCTCTGGGCCCACCCAGCACCCTATGGTCCATTGTGTCATAGCACTTATCACAATGCACAGCTACCATTGATTTCTGTTTCTGTCACTAGACTGCCAGCAACTTGAGAGCGATGACCATATCTGATTCATCTTGTTAGCCCCATTCCCTAATATAGGTCATAGCATGTATTATGAGTCAATAAATATTTGTTGAATGGAAGAACAAACGGCAATAGCAAGAACATCAATAGGTTAGTGACTGGTTTTTGAGAACACAAAAATAAAAAAAATAGACATGGCCAATGTCCAGGGAAGAGAATAACTTTGCATCCATAGGTGCCTCACCCACAATTGTAGCATAGTTATTTTCCCCCCAGAATTCCATAGCCTTAGAGCCATCATCCTCAATGTCCGCAGAAAAGACCCAATGAACTCCTTTTCCTCCTGAAGGACTTAAATGTTATCTTCAAGTTGTTGCCATCAGAAAATAGCTCTTCAATTAAAATAAAAATTTTGGTGCTTTGAGCTTTTTCGTGCTTTGGTGGTTATTGGCTCAGGATTGAATCCCAGGAGTGGTATAACTAGGACAAAGGAAATGAACATTTTTATTGCTCTTGCTTCATATTGCCAGATCGCTTTTCAGTAAGGGATCATGCCCATTTACACTGAAGACCAATCTGAAACTTAGTCCCAAGGAAATCCAGATCTTGCCTGTCTCCATTGCTGGTTTTAATTTCCCCATTCTGCAGTGGCTTGTTAATATTAGTTCTGACCTTTGGGGCAAGGTGAACACATGGTTGGCCTGAAGAGAAAAGGCTCCGTCTGGGTGGCTCAGGAACTTCTTTGGCAACTGCAACAGCTGATATTTCAACAGAGCACACACCCCTCCCTTACTAAGGGTACTTCTCAAGTTTTCCCAGGGAACCAACGAAAAGCTCCAGGCTCCCTCTTTGACGCCACCCACTGGACCTGCTTTGGGGGTCTAAATGCAAGAGAGCTGTGTGTCGGATAACTAGCGATGGAAGAAAAAACTTCTAGGAGAACAGGTAGGTGAGACAGAAGGAGACATAGATAGGAGTTACACAAATCCAAATCCATTCTTCAGGCCCTCTGGAAAGTTTTCTTTGCATAGGTGGTCAATTAAAGTGTACCTTAAAGGGTATGGGAGAATTTGGAAAAAGATGAAATCTATATCTAATTATCTATCTATTATCTATTCTGACCTGTCTTTGTGGGACACTGGCCCAAAAGGCAGCTCTCTAGCAACTTTGGAAGTCTCTCTAACATGGTCTATCCAGTTTTGCATGAGCTGGCTGAATAAAGTAGGGCTGGTTTGCTGTGCCACTTTGAACAAGCTTTTTAGCTTCTGTGGGCTTTAATAGCCTTCTCACTAAAATGGAAATTGAAGTCCCTAGCCTACTTCCCTCAGAGGGCTGTCTCAAGGTGGAGAGGAGTGGGAGGACAGGAATCAAAGCTCTTCGGAAATATTTCAGGACTTCTATGCTCTGTGTGAGATTACCGATCCTGCTTTTTCTGTAGCCTCCCCAGGCAATACCACTCACAACCTTCCAGCTGCTCTGTTCCTTAAGTGACTGTGGTCTGTGGGGAGCCACTCTAGGACTAGGATGCAGTGAGCCTTGGGCCCCAGGCATGGGGCTGAAAATAGTGGGGGGATGGTAGGCCAGGGCGGTGGCTCAGAAGTGAATCCTAGGCTGCTGCCACAGAAGGCCTGTTGCTCATGCGTAGGCACCTGACCTGTGAGCATGTGGCTCATCTCCCCTCCACACGCTAACCCCCCACAGATGCATTCACATCCACACACTCCAAGAATTACCAATAGGGAGACCACATTTGTGATTCTGTTACCCATCAGTACTGTCTTGATAGTGCTTTTAACAAGATTCTCCTACATACCTTGTGCCTTGAGAGGATGGTCAGGATCTGTAGGTCTCAGGAAGTCACACTGTATGCTTTTCCTCCCTAGAGTTAATCCCATTTTAGAATTTGTGGCTCAGCTCTTGGTCTTGAGTGGGTCTCTGATACTGAGTGAACCCTTTTTCTGCAACTAGTTAATTGGACCTTTTCAGGGGAGACTTTATTCTTTTGTCTATTCTGTTCTGCCCATTCAAGGTTGAGAAACTTTCTAGATGCCACCTTCTACCTTCAGACCAAGTTAGTTCCCCCACCCAGTTCCCTGCATAGCTGTCTTTTATAACATTTACCTTGTTGAATGATTGTTTGTGCACGTTTGTCATCTAGGGGAGAGAGATGTAGATTGTACAAACATGCACTGAGCAAATGCCTCCTCTGTGTCAGGGCCTGAGCTGGACACTGGAAACACAGATCGCAGATCACTGAGATCCAGTCCCCATCCTCAAGCAGCTCACAGCCTAGTGGGGAAGTGGACCAGCAAAACACTGGTGGCTACTTACTCAGATAGACAGAAGCATATAGGCAATATGAGAACCAAAGACAAAGCCTATCCCAAGGATGCAGGGAAGGCTTCCCAGAGGGGGCAAATATTGAACCAGGCTTAGAAGAGTGAGACAGTTTTCATTGAGAATGGAAGGGAAGAGAAGGCATTCCAGGCTGAGCAAAGGCCCAGACGGAGAAAAGTACACAGTATGTTTTGAGGCCCAGGCTGAGGTCTTCCCATCAAGCTTGTTTAGTTCTCCTGCTTCTAGTATCAAAACCGATAACAGAGGTTAAAAAAAAGAAACCAGTTCCAGGCAGTTTTAAGTTGGGTTTTTAACCCTGGGCCCCAGGTTTACCCTTGCAGACCTTGCCAAAAGCTCGCTAGCCTCCTGTCTCAGATTTCCTGCTGCTAAAATTATCCTTTTGCCTCTTGGGAGGGTCATGAGGACAAAATTGTAAACATAGAAGAGAGGTTCATGTGACTGGCTCAGTTACCTTGGACAAGCCACTTTCCCTCCCTAGACTTCAGTTTCCCTGTGAGGCTAATGAGAATGTTTGTAAGCTGCGCTAGGGTAAGGAGTATGTTGTTGCTTTGTGGGCCATGGAAAATATACATGTAAAGTGTTAGTATTAAGATTATTACCATTAGCAGGGTGATACCAGTTAGGAGACTTACTAGGGTTAAGAGAGTTTTATTTCTTCCAAAGTCTAGTTCTGAGACTCTAAAATTTCTGAGCTAATCTGGAAGACCACATTCTTAAATCAAGCTTGATTGATCAATTAACCAAAGCTGAGCCCTGGACTAGGAGAAATCAGGTCCCTAGTGTTCTACTTCTGACTTGGTGACTTATTTGCTATAGGACATTAGGAAAATACTTCCTTCCCCTCACTAGGCCTCCATTTTCTTAGCTGAGAGTGTTGGATGAAACAATTTCTAGAGTGTTTATCACAAAACTGAAAAAGTAACAGTGAATTCATCTTTCTAATTGGTTGGCAGGAACTCTTTATTTATTAGAAAGGGTAACCCTTTGTCATAATATTAGAAGTTTCATTTGCTGAGTGTTTCCTGAATGCTCAGCACTACATTAGAAGTTGCAGATTAGCTAAAGAGGTGATTGATCATTTACTTCACAAAGGGAATCAGTGTTAGGTAGTATATTTTGAGCATTTCCCAGGTTTATTTACGTGTATTAACACGTTGAATGTTCAACAACCCTAAGAGGGTAGGTACTCTAATCAGATGAAAAAACTGAGGCACTGAAAAGTCTTCTCCCCAGGGTCTCATAGCAAGAGGCAGAGGTAGGATTCCACTCCGGTAGTATGGCTCCAGAGCCCATTGTTCTTAACCACTGTGATCCACTGCCTCATAGATTCATTTAGATGGACAGGCTCTGAAATGTATTGAAAGTTGGGTATGATTTATACACGACAGCTGGAGGTAATCTAACCCTTATGTAGACTAAGACGCTGAGAATGTATTTTAGGGAACTTCTTAAAAGGTAACGTGGAACTGAGAGCCTTGGAGGGCGGGGATTGGAGATTTCTGTCCCCTGGAGATTGCCCCTGTGTAGCTCAGCTCAGTGGAAGAAGGTTGAGTTTCCTCGTAGCCAATGGCTGGAGGTTCATCAGGGGGTGGGAAGGTTGCAAAATAATGTATTAAGAGCACACTTGGACATCTTCCAGTGAGCTGTGCCATTAGATGAGTTCCACACATAAAAGCCTCAAAACAACCAGGGTAAGGCGAGGGTAAACAGAGACATCTAAGTGGCATGGCTCTGGCTTATGGACTTGTCCTACTTTCAGGCCATTGCTCCCTGCTCCCCACACTCTGCCTGCTGCAGCCTCCAGCCTAAGCCTCCATTCCCATGGCTTGGCATAAGGAACTTTAGCCAGCTCCTGGATCAGATCACGATGCCTTTCTCCTCAGGGCACCTGATGGCAGCCGGCAGCCATGTGGGCAGTGGTTACCATCTCTTCCCCCAGCAATGGCTACGTTTACCCCTCTTCCCGAGGTGTCAGGTTTACTCTGATTTCTTTAGCCCTGGCTGGAGAAAGCGTATAGATGATTGGATAGTGCCCATCTCTCCAGGAGTGGCCCAGGCAGCACATTTTAGGAGGCAGAGGTCCTGTGGCAGGAAAGGCAGCAGAATTCAGGCAAAGACAAGAGTTGCAATGCCATCTTGTGGGGGAGGGTGGGGCAGTGAGGCAGTGAATCTTCCACTTCCAGTCCGAGTCTTTGATTGCTCAAAACATTGCAGTTTTCAGTAGGGACTCTGTGTTTGTGTGTTTGTACTTGGGAACCTTGCATTTCTGATGTGTGTATCTGTTTCTGGGCTGGAACTTGACATTCTACTTGGGCTCATTTTTTATTTCAAAGCTGATAAAGCTGCTAAGACCTGCCTCCATCACCTTTGCCTCCCCACCCCACACAGGATTTAAGCACATGATGTTTGGTCTTTTATTTGCATACTCTTACTAGTCCTGTCTTCATTGGAGGGAAGTGACTGGCCAGACCTGGGTTGTCTTGCTGGCTGCCTTCCTTGCTGGGCTCTAACTTATCTCCTATGTACACAGCCCTTGGAGTTCAGAGGCCTCTGCTCACCTCTGCCCAACCTCTCCCTCTCTGCACCCAAGCCCCCACCGGTACACACAGGAGCAGAGGCAGGCAAGGCAGGCAAGGACTAGGAAAAAGGAGAGGGGCCTGGAGACAGGCTGCCAGAGAGCTCAGAAGCCCAGTGCACCTCTCTGTCCCAACTCTGTCCTCCTGCAGCTGTGGCCACAGCAACAGAAGAGACAGCTAGTAAGACAGGAAGTGAGGCCCGGTACCTTGTGGACAGTGGTGTCATTAGCCGCAACGCCTAAGATGTCTCAAGAGATGGGAGAGCTCACCCAAACCAGGTTGCAGAAGATCTGGATTCCACACAGCAGCGGCAGCAGCGGGCTGCAACGGAGGAGGGGCTGTAAGTGGGGTTTGCTTCTGTGGGCTTCAAGGTGGCAGTAGAGTGGGTGTAGAAGAAGAGCAAAGGACATGCCCCCTATCCACTCCCACCCCAACCTGAAAGTTGGAATAGATGAGTAAGGTGAAACAGCTGTAGGATAAGAGGCTAATGTCCGGAAAGGTAAAGAAAGAATGAGAAAGAGAGAGAGATGAAGATAGAGAAAAAATGAGGATTAGGTAAAGACCATCTTAATCAGAGGGATTTTTGACTAGGAACTTTTTCTTTCTTATCCAGAGCTTATTTGGAATGGCTCTTGTTTAAAATTTGACATTTCTAGTTTGGAACTCTTCAATCCAAGCCTAGAATGTTTCATTTTGGCAACCTTAGTGTAGCGTCTGGAAATTGGTCCCGTTTGAAATAAGGTGATGGTTCCTGGCATCGTTTCTCAGGGGACAGGTGCTGGGTACGCAACAGTACCCTGTCCTTGGTCACTTTTACTCCTCCCCTTTCTCAAGCCTCTTCTAATAAGTCCATACTTGACTGGGTCGGGAAAGGCTGGGTGTCCTGTCACCTGCATTGCCTTCTTGGCACATGTGGACACTTTTTCTGCTCTGGGGATTTGAGGGAGAAGACATTCAGTCTCTCAGGGACAGCCTGCTGATGTAATGGTCACTTTGAAAATTTCAGAAAGAGTAGGAGCAAAGGAGAAGCAGACAAAATCTGTAAATATTTTTTTTAAAAACTGGAGTATACCTTTTCCCATAGATAACAGGGGACAGTTGTGGACAAAGGTGCTTCCAGGCCAAGGATTATGGCCTGAGGAGCCATAAGGTGGGCAAAGACAAGACAGCTGTGGACTGTGGAACCCAGACATTTCAAGGACCAGCTGACCAAGTTTACACCATGCTAATGCTAGAGGAGGTCCAGGCTCAAGGCTAGTGGGGGGAGAGGTAATTGCTTAGAGGAGCCAGGAAGATGGAGGATGTAGGGTATGGATGGAGGAAGAAAAGGAAGAGGGGGAAAAATCCAGCTTCCTGTTTTTCCTCCTCTCCACCTGCAGTTTCACTCACTCATCTGGACATCTAGGGAGCCTGGATGAGACTGAGAGAATTATATCCCACCCCCACTCACCCAGCCACTCTTTGTCCTTTCCAAGGGGCTGTTGGGTTTAGATGGCAAGCAGGCAAGCCGGCAAGCCATTCTCTGCATACATGAGTCCTCCAGAGTTAGGACCCTAATATTCCTGGGAACTCTCTCTTTCAGGTTGGAGAAATAATGCACATAAATTACCCAGTATAGTCTCTGTCACATAGAGGGTGCAAGATAAATATGTGCTCACTTTAATTCTGAGTCTCTCTTTCCTCAGCTGTAAAACAGGATTAATAACTACCTTCCATGTTGTTGGGGTGATTCAGTGATTCAGAGGTTCTGGATCCAGACTACCTATTTTTTTAAAAAGATTTTATTTTTTCCTTTTTCTCCCCAAAGCCCCCCAGTACATAGTTGTATATTCTTAGTTGTGGGTCCTTCTAGTTGTGGCATGTGGGACGCCGCCTCAGCATGGCTCGATGAGCGGTGCCATGTCCGCGCCCAGGACTCGAACCGACGAACCACTGGGCCGCCTGCAGTGGAGCGTGCGAACTTAACCACTCGGCCACGGGGCCAGCCCCCAGACTGCCTATTTTTGAACTCCAGCTCTGCCACCTCCTGCTGCTGTGACCTTGGACAAGTCTCTTAACCTCTCTGTGCTTCCATTTCCTCATCTGTAAAATGAAGTCAATAATAGTATTATTGTGAAGATTAGAGAACCAAAGCATATAAAATTCTTAGAAGAGTGTCCAGTTCATTGTAAGCACTCAATAAATGTTAGTTTTTATTATTGTTTAAACAAGAAGGTGGGTGTGTAATCTTTTTGCCCATCAAATCCCCAGCATCAAGCCTGGAGCCAGGCAATAGCAGATACTCAGTAAATGGTCACTCTGTGCTACTTCCACTCTACCACTCACCATAGGCAAGCGTGGGGCTCTGTGTGCACAGGACGGTCACTCATTAGTGATTAACTGAATTATGTCAGACCACAGATGTGATAAACTTAAATAGTGGTTGCCAAGTCCTGCCCTGGGCAATGTCTGCTTCACCTTCCCTGCTGGAAAGGCCAGGCTATTCACCCCAGAAAGATCCAAATTAACTCTTGCTTGGAGCATCCTCTCTAGACCTGCCTGGCCCCAAAGGGGTCAGTTGGGGAGGGGAGGCACACAATCACTTAGTGACATTGTTCTGGGGATTAAATTCGTTAACGTGTGTAAAGTGCTTGAACAGCTATCTGTATTCATCTGTGACTTGTTTTTCTAATTCAACATTATGCTTTGTACGCCATCTACATTATTGTTGCATGCAGTTGTAGCTTACTTATTCTCCTTGCCGTTTGAGAGTACATTTTGTGAATATCCCACAGTTTACTTATCCATTTTACTCTGGATAAGCATGTAGGTAGTTTCTAGTTTATGGCTATGAACAATACTGCAATGAAAATTTTTCTCCCCATAAATTTTGGAATCAACTTTTCAAGTTACAAACACACACGCGCGCACGCTCACACACACACGCTCATGGCAAAACTTGGGGTTTTGGTTGGAATTACATTCAATCTGTAGATCAGTTTAAGGAGAGTTAACATCTGTGTGATATTGAGTCTTCTGTAAACATGGTATGTCTCTCCATCTATTTAGACTTTTTTCATATTATTTGAGTAAAGTTTTATGATTTAAAAGGGTTTGCACATCATTGTAAGAAATTTTTTTTGCTTATTTTTTATTGCTATTGTAAACAATATCTGTTTAAAAAAGTACATTTTATAGCAGTTTATTGCTAATGTATACAAACATAATTGTGTTTTTTTGTATATTGTAAGTAGCAAACCTGATAAACTTTCTTATTAATTTTGATAATTTGTATGTAAATGACAGTTTTCTTTTTTTCCCCTCCAATCCCTATATTTTTTATCTCTTTTTCTTATATCACTGCAATGCTAGGACCTCCTACCTCCAAAACACACACCATTTTCAGTATAATGTTGAATAGTGTGCATTTTTATGTTTATCCTAATTTTAAAAGGATTGCTTTTAAAGTATCACCATTGAATAAGTTTGCTGTAGTTTTTTTGTAGATATCCTTTAACAGGTTAAGGAACTTCTAGTGTATTCTTAGTTTGCCAATAGGATTTTTTTTAAGATGAGTAGGTGTTGAATTTTATTAAACATATTTCTGTATCCACTGAGATGCTGTGTTGATTTTCTATTTTAATCTGTGAATGTGAATTACATTAGAGATTTTTTTTTGTGTTGATCAAACCTTGCAGTCCTAGGATAAATAAAAACTACTGGATTTAGTTCATTAATATTTTGTTTAAGAATTTGACATTTTGTTCATAAATGATTGGTCTGTAATATTTTTCCCTTCTCATGTTTCCCGGTTTGATTTTAGTGTCATAAGATGAAGTGGGAAGTATTTCCTTTCATTCTATTTTCCGACAGAGGTTGTCCGAGGAACTATCTGTTCTTTAAATATTTGGCACAACTTCCAGGTAAAACCATCTGGGCCTGGTGTCTTCTTTGTAAGAAAATTTTAACTGATGCAATCTTTCAAATAGTTATAGAACCCAGTTTGCTGTTTCTATTTGTCAGTTTTGTGAAGTTACAGTTTCCTAGGAGTTTTTCTCTTTCACATCACTTTTTAAATTTGTTTATGTAAAGTTTTCATCTTCAGATTTTTAAAATCTCTGTTGCATTTGTGGTTACATCCTCTCTTTTGTTCTAATATTGTTTATTTGTACCTTCTCTTTTTTTCTCTTCATCAATCTTGCCAGAAGTTTATCACTTTTATAAGTTTTTTTACATAATCAACTTTTGGCTTTTTGATTCTTTCTGTTATGTTTTTGTTCTCTATGTAACTATTTTTCTTATCATTATTCTATTTGTTTCACTTTCTTTGGATTCATTCTGTTGTTCTTTGTTTCACTTCTGGAGTTGGATGCTCAGCTCATTAATTTTCAGACTTTATTCGTTTTGAATATAAGCTATATTTCAATGTTATAATTTGCCTACTAAACAGGGCTGATATTCCACAGATGCACAATTATATGGACATACGAATATTTTAAATATTTCTAGACCGTTTGGTAAATAGGCGCTGGGCTTTCTTAGTTTCTCCATCAGTTACCCAGTTGTCCTGGCCTCCTCAGTCCCTTTCCCAGGACCTGCTGATTACCATTTAGCAGCTAACTGGTTAATACCTGGCACAGCAGGAGGCCTCCAGTAATTGGTGCCAGCCCTTGGGCCAATTTCTATTTTGAGAGATCAGTGCCCTTGCCTTTCTAGTTTGATTCCATGCTCATCAGAGAACAAATTTTGTATGATTTCAGTTCTTTGAAATCTATTGAGATTTCCTTTATGGACCAACATATGGGCATTTTTGGTAAATGTTCCATGAGGACTTGACAACAGGTACATTTTACAGTTGAGTTTAGTGTAGTATATACTTCAATTAAGTCGTGTTTGTTAATCTGGCTTACATGCCCTATAGTCTTCTGGGGTTTTATCTTATTATCTTTATTATCTATTATCTATCTTATTATCTATTATTTTATCTTATTTAGCTTATTGATATAGAAAATTTGTTAATGTCCCCTTATAACTATGTCAATTTTGAAGCTTTGTAAATAGTTACAAACAAATTTAGAATTGCTGTGTCTTCCTGGAGAATTGAATATTTTATCAATGTATGAGGAAATTATTTCTGGGAATCTAGTATCATTGGCATTTTGCCCTACAATCATTTTTTTCCTGATATTAATATATATGATTTATTTAGCTTAATATTTGCCTAGTATATCTTTTCCTGTACTTTTTTAAAAATTGTTTTTGCTAGAGATATAATTCACATACCATGAAATTGACTATTTTAAAGTGTACAACTTAGTGGTTTTTAGTATATTCACGTGGTTGTGTACTGTCACCACCAAT